ACTCAATGCCAAGAAGAATTAACGCGGTATTGGAGGCAAAAGGAGGGCCAACAAAATATTAATTAAATATGAAATAAGTTTTTTATGTATAATATGAAAAAATAAAAGAAATCGAAATTATATTTTAAGTTTTATGATAATTGAAAATCGGGCGTTACTTTTTGAGGCGACTGTACGTCAAAATCTTCCCTTTTCAATTTCGTTAAGCTGTGTATATATAGTGTTGACGAAGTGGCAAAAGATAAATAAAGGGATAAATGTATTTTTAAAAAATGGTTACACACGTAAATCGGGCGATACTTTCTGTGGGTACTATACATGTAAATACATGCACGTGTAACCGTTATCATATCGATATCATTTTATGTTATGCTTATCTCTCTTTTGTACATGTATTTGGCATAATATGGGCACCAAATTTTTATCATCGTTTTTTTGCTATTTTACACGTATAAGCACTAGCGCATCAAACGATGATAACAACCTTACTCGTAATACTAATAACAAGATGAGTAATAATAACGATGGAAATGTGAGCGAAGAAAATGAAAATTATCTCTCAAACGCTTTGAAAGAACTTTTACAAAAATTTTCTTCGATTAAAAATCCTGGCGGGGAAGATGAACATTTACAAGAATGTATTCAGAGCTGGCTCTCTCAACATAGGAAATACACAAAAATTCAAGTCATTGAGCAACTAGAACGAATCGCTCATAAAAATAATGATTATGCATGTCTACTAGGATTCTTTTATCATAAACCTTTCGGTGACCCACATGACCTACAAAAAGCATTTAAATGGTATCTACGAGCTGCTGAACATAATGACGCATTCGGTCAAAACCAGGTCGGATATTTCTATCAAAGCGGATATGGCACAGCAATAAACGATGAGAAAGCTTTCTATTGGTTCCAGAAATCCTCGGATGGCGGATGTAGCAATGCGAAATCTAATCTCGGCTACTGTTATCAAGATGGAATTCATGTAAAGAAAAACTCACGATATGCTTTCTATTGGTATTCTAAAAGTGCCGAAATGGGTGACGAATTGGGAATGTGTAATTTGGCAAGTGTACTTTTACATGGTATGGGGACGAATATTGACATCCATCAGGCTTTGAAATTGTATCGAGAAGCAAAAAACTTAAAATGCGTGTGTGTTGATCATAATCTTCGTTGTATTTTTGTTTACCCTTTTTTTTAGTTATAACCATGCTTGCTATCTTTTTGCTTATTATTTACTTTCGTAAATAAATCTTACTAACGTAAGGTTCAAAAACAAAATCGTCTAATTGGCAACCAGTACAAATAAATCTACATTTATAAGATGATGGTTGTAATATAATACAGTGACTAATGTTGGCATCAAAAAATATCTTCCGATTATACTGTATGTATCCATTTGTTTGCAGTGATACGTACATTATCGTTATCAACATTTTGCATAAAAATAACAATATTGAATACATGTACATGTATATGTAATAGAAACATCGATAAAAATATGGATGAAGAGAATGGCAAAGAAAATTATTTTTCAGATTCTGTGAAAGATCTCTTACAAGAATTCTCGATTAAAATTCTGGCAGAGAAGATGAACACCTACAAGAATGTGTTCGTAACTGGTTCTCTAAACGTAAAGAATTTACCGAAGAATAAATATTTAAGCACTTGAAACAGATTGCTCGTGAAAATTATGATTACGTATGTCTACGAGGATTCTTTTATTATCAACCTTTTGGCGCAATCAGCAAAAAGCATTTAAATGGTACCTGCGAGCAGCTGAACATAATGATGCATTCGGTTAAAACCAGGTCGGATATTTCTACCAGCATGGAATAGGCATAGAAAAAGATCATGAGAAAGGTTTCAACTGGTACATGAAATCATCGGATGGAGGATGTAGTAATGCAAATCCGGTCTCGGATATTGTTATCGATGTGGAACTCATGTAAAAAAAATTTGCGATATGCTCTTATTTGGTATTCCAAAAGTGCAGAGACGGGTAACGAATCGGGAAAGTGTAATTTGGCATATGTTCTTTTACATGGTATGGGAATTAATTTTGATACTCATCGGGCCGTTAAATTGTATCTGGAAGCAAAGAGATTGGGACACATACGGTACATGCATCACAGCGTATCAAATTTGATGAAATAAGTGGGATAAAAATTATTAATAATCTATATTTAAAATTTTCATCTTCAAATATCCAAAAATACGATTATTTTTAATTCGTAAAGATAATATTACTTAAAAGAATTTTAGTTTGACTTCTTTACTTTATTGTAACAAAAATATTATCATTATCATCATGAATTCTAAAAGTAGTCCAAAAAGGTACCACTCAACACCCCGACACTTATCTTCCCGAAAAATCCAACTTCCCCGACGACCTAACATCCTGACAATTATAGCATCCCGACAACTAACATTCCAACAATCCAAATTTTCAAAATTTAAACCTAACACTTCCCAACTTCCCGAAAAGGCTAGGTCAATTTCTGGTTTATGTCTGGAAATTGGATTTTTGCGGGAAATTTACGTATGTCAGGATGTTAGAATGTTGGGTTAGATTGCCGGGGTGTTAGGTTGTCGGGATGTTGGATTCTCGGGAAGATTGGTGTCGGGAGGTTGAGGTAGACCCGTCCAAAATGATTGCTGAGCCACAATTTACAAATTACATTATACATGTAATTTATATCTTTTATTTGTATTTTTCACTTTTTTCATCTTTTATGATGCAAAAAGTCTAAAGTCATCCAATAATTTTAATTTATAAAGGACTTTTATATTGCCGTAATTGCATAAACTACCTCCCTCATAAAAGCTCCTTCCCCCTTTTTTATTAATAGTTTTCTTTTTTACTAATTAATTTTTTGGTAAAATTTAACAGGCCCCGGGTAGTTTAGCGGTGATTTAAAAAGTATACATAATTTATATATTTTTTTTGATGAAATCTCCTAATTCCGGAAATTTCTGGAATAATGTGAAATTTCCTACTTAATATACTTTTATTATTATTATTTAAATTATTAGTATTAGTGTCTTGTAACACTTGAAAAAATTTCAAGCGAATTTCATATTAATTTCTGCATTAATTTCATATTTGACATCTCTTTTCAAGATAGTATTCTTGATATATTCTTTCAGTTTTAAAAATAATTCCATAAACTTTGTTAAATATTTCGCATTTAGATAAAGATCAATTTTTTTCTCTATTAAGACTTTAATTTTTTTTTCTTCATTTTAACTTTTTAATAGAAAATAAAATATGTTTTTATTTAATAAATATGTTTATTAATCTTATTAAATAATATTTTAATTTTGGTTTGCAATATTAATTAATATAATCAAATCTTTTTATTTATTTTTCTTGAAATATCAAATTAAATAATCAAGAGAAATATAATCATAAAGTATATTTTAATTATAATTACTAATATTAAAAAATTCAAATTAGGAAATTTAATTACAAACTAATAATCAATAAAAATAAAATATTATTAAAAATAAATAATTTCTACTTATTTAAATTAACTTTTTTATTTTATATAATATTAATAATAAATTTTTATTTATAATTTAATAAGAAATTTCTAATATTAATATAATTAATATTATTTAATTATATATAATATACTACATTAGTAAATTTGATAGATATCAGATCAGTAGTGATCAGTAAATATGCTGATTATTACTGATTTTTTGATTACACTGATCCAAAATTTGTGCAGAACTCTGAAAATAGAAATTTTGGAGAAGTGTAACCCAAAGAAACTGTAATAATTAGCATAATTACAGATCATTACAGTTCTTTGAACATAAATTAAATAAATAAATGATAAATAGATCAATTATATACATTATTATTTATTTTTTTCTTTGAAGTTTACTACAGGTGCAAATTTGACTTTAAAATTCTTTGCCTATTAGTTTTTCAAAATATATATTTATTTAATAAAAATAAAAAAGATTTTTTTTATCAAATCTTGACATAATATATATTTCTTGATCTATAGATTCTATTAGAATTATATTATACTCTTTGATATAGTATAGATGAGAGTAACTATACTTTTCTAACTTATTTGATATAATATTATATCAACAAATCATAGTAAGCTTATATGAATCCTTTGCTAATTCTTGAAAAAATTATAGAAAGAGCAGTACCTTTTGAAAGAAAATGTGAAGGTTAATTTATTCAAAATTACTAAATTTGAAATTACATTTTACTATTCTTCAAGTTATATTTACCTTTTCATATCAAGTATCTTCATCTGATCTATAATAGCTTTGGTCTTTAGTTAAAATTATTGTAATATTACTGAATCATTCTTTGTTATAAAAATTTCCAGATGTTCTTAGAATTTTGTTGCTTTCTAAATAAACCATATCATAAACTTTTATATAAAAATCTTTGCTTTTAAACTCTTGTAATAATATATTAAGAAACATATCTAATGAAGTAATTATATATAATAATCCTTTAATAAAGTTTGGATATGATGAACTTTCCAAATTCTTTAATGAAATCACTTTTATTTTAATAACATCCAAAAATAATTTCTATAATATCTTGTCAAATCTTGTAGTTTTATGATAAACTGTCTTACTTATTATTAAAGCTAATTCTTTATACTTCATCTGTAAGTATAGTTTAGAATTTATAATAAATTAATTATAATTAACATACTTAACTTACTGTATTTATTATCTGCTGCATGATATTTTTTCTATTTGATAACTAGTATAGATTTTTTATATATAACTTGTGAAGTATTTCATATTAAGAGATTATTCAAGATATCATATTTACAAATTATTAAAATCATATAGTAGTACTAACTATGTAGTTTAGAAAAACTATATTCCATAGTGAATAGTAATGAGAAGATTTTCTTAAATTTAGTTGACCAGTTAACAATAAAAATCTGTATCTATTTTTAAAATCTATTATTAATTCTTTAAAATTTAATTAATTTTGCTTTATTTTATCTTAAATTCTTTTAAATTATTTTTAATAAATAACTTTTGTTTACTCATTATATATATCCTACTGAACTTTACATAAAGCATACAAAGTTTATTACAGATTATACTATTTTATATGTCAAAGATATTATCTAACATGAAAAGAGTAATTTTCATGATATATTGATAGTCTGTGATTATTATCACTTTTATTTGATCTAATTTATCAAACAACTTCAATTCAGAAAAATAAGAAATTTGATAAAGACAGCTATTAAAATTGTTTAGTAATTCTGTTTCTCTAACTTCCTTCAAAATATCTTGAATAAAGTTTAATTGGTATTTGAAGAGATCAAGATCAATATAATACATATGATCAGATATATAAGCTTCATAAATATTTAAGTTTCTATAATAATTTAATAATTTTAATTTAATTATAACTCAAAATTATTTAAAAATAATTGCAGAAGAATTAGCATTCAAATATTTATGAAAACTTCCAGAATATATTTTCAACATTATATATAGAAAAACTCTTGCTTCAATCTTTATTTATAATTTATTACATATTTTCTGATATTCTAAGATTTGTATTCTCTGATGTAAAATTTATATTATTGAGATTATTCTGCAGAACTATGCAGATGTGATATAATATTTTATATCTTGCTGATTTATATGTTATAGTCATATTGTCAGCTTCAAGTATATTTATAAAAAAGATAGAAATACATGCTGCAAAAATTACTAGTCATCTCTATACTTTAAAATACTATTATTATAGTGATATAAAATTCCTTAATTCCTTAATCTTTCACTAGTTATGCAAAATTATATTTTATTATAATTCTTATTTATTTTATAATTATTCCTATTTTTACATTATTTATTATTATATTTATTATTATATTTCTATTTTTAAATACTATATTTTATTTAATATTCAGAATTTATATTTTTTTTATTATTTGTAATACAATATTTATATATATAGTTGAATAGTATAGTAAAAGATCATTTTTTATTTTGATGAAACAGTTATACTTGAACAATAATCTCAAATATCTTTCCTTATTCTTTAACATTCTTTAATATTCTTTCTCATCTTTTCATATCTTCTCATATCTTTTCACATCTT